CTAGGGTTGTTTTATCGCAGGGACCGATGCAAGTGTGGCCGAATTCGACTGGAAACGGCCGAAAACGGCCAACCTGAGGCGAATCGCCGTCGCCGGAACACGGCGGAGCCGCCGTGCCGGAATTGTGATATTGGCCGAAAGGGGCCTGGGTCTAATTTGGGATTTTTTGGGACACGTGCAGGTACCAGTAGTGCGTTTCAGTTCCCCGAAAAAAATTCAGGAAAAATTAGGGACAGCCTGTAGGCGCACTGTGGAGCCGTGTTCGGACCCCGAAACGAGTAAGGATTCCTCACCCTATTTCCTATCACGGTATTAAAGTGTAATAAATGATAAAATGGTATTTCATGAATCAATAGCTGTGTGAAATTATTTGAGGTTGCTAATGGAGCCCGAGTCTGGTGTATTTATCGGTCAGTTGTTGTTTGTTCTATTTTACAGTTTTAAATGCAGTATGATGTCTGATGTTTTTATTTCATAGTTTCGTGTGCATGTATCACTGTTTCATTGATTATAGACTGAATGACTGAGAACCCGGTGTTGTATTGTCTTGTTGGCGTGAACTACCGGTTTGTATGTTTGTGTGTGATTTGATGATGCTGACTGAGGAAAAAGGGGGATGAAAGGTTATGTAAATTGATAATTGTATAATGTGGTCAGCCTGACTAGATATCCTGGGAGATGGTGGACGGACCGGGTCCGTAGGAAACCCTACCAGACTGTGGTCTCTCATACCGGACAGAGTATGGAGACCTTATGTGTTTTGGTACCCATACCGGACGAGGTATGGGGACGACCCATTTCACCCTCATACCGGACGGGGTATGGGGACGGCCCTAGAATCTGATTACAAGTGTTAAGGGTTCACGAGTAGCGGGACCCCTATGGATCCCCATGGATACTAGTAGGCTGGTAAATGAAGAAAAATATGTTGTGTAATGATTGAATTGCAAAAGGCGTGATAAGTATTATGTTATACAGCTCATATGATTTCATGATGATGATAATGTTATTGCTTTCGTATATTGTTTTATGAATTTCACCGAGGTAAGTGGATAGTAAAGGATTTTATTATTGATAAAAGAATTTGTTGTAAACTATGCTCCATTGGTCCTTTTGTGTTTTCTACCCACCTTTACCTCCGTGACGGTGAGATAGTGTGATGTCTTTACTGGGCTGGTGTAGCTCATTCCTTATTTAATCATTTCAGATCAGGAAGACATTGTTCTCGAGCCCGTTCCGCAGGAAGACGGCGAAGGGGACGCCTGAAGACTCCGTAGTCATATTTAGAGCTTTTATTTTCGAGTTTCTCTTTTAGTTAGTTTGTTCTTTTATACTTTGAGCACGTTTTTGGTTTTAGTGTAAGGGATGTTAAATCAAGTTTTTATTACACTTCCGCATTTGACCTTTTTAATATACATATTTCATTTTAAAATTTTCAGGGCCGTTACAGAAAAATGACGTCGTTTTGAAAGGAGAAAAACGACGTCGTTTTGAGAAAGTAGGTGAGATATAAATAGGGGATGGGACAGAAAAGAAAGGGGGAAGAGGAAGAAAAAAAAAAGAAAGAAAGGAGAAAACAGAGAAGGAAGAGAGCGAGAAGGAGAAAAGAAGGTTCGAGAAAGAAAGAGAGGGGACTCGGAGCGGAGAGGAACGAGAAGGGAGAGAGAAAAAGAAAGAGGACGGTGACAGTGCGATCAGTGGGAGGAAGGAAGATGGAAATGGGAGGTACGGTAAAGTTAAGTTTCATGTGTGGATTTGAGTTTGCAACTTTGGTGAGAAATCTGGTTTGGTTTGAGATATAGAGTAGATTTGTGAGTACATTTGGATGTGGTGGTATATGGAGGAGGCCGTGGAAGGGAGTGAGTGCTGTGTGTGAGTGAGATTTACGAGAGAGAGTAGACTTGTGTGAGTACATATGGAGGAGGCTGCGGGAGAATAGAGAATGAGGAATGCGGTGTGAGTGAGGTACGTGAGAGAGAAGGACTGCGGTGTGAGTGAGGTTTGTGAGAGAGAGTAAACTTGTGTGAGTATACATGGAGGAGGCTGCGGGAGGAGAGAGAAGGAGGAATGCGATGTGAGTGAGGTACGTGAGAGGGAAGGACTGCGGTGTGAGTGAGGTTTGTGAGAGAGAGTAGACTTGTGTGAGTATACATGGAGGAGGCCGCGGGAGGAGAGAGAGGGAGGAATGCGATGTGAGTGAGGTCCGTGAGGGAGAGGAGCGTAAATGTTGAGATTTGTGAGAGAGAGCAGATTTGTATGAGTACACATGGAGGAGATTGCGGGAGGAGAGAGAAGGAAAGGGAGATCT